TCCCCAGAGCGAGAGCTATCGAATGGTGTATAGCATGTGATCATAACCTCTCTAGATCGAGCTGGATAATTTGTACGCACGCACGCACAAAGTGTTAGTAAAGTGAGAGAATACGCTCCGCTCGCTTCGCTCGCTCCGCAATTGCCATGCTGATGAGGCATCGTTCTTGTACAGGTCGAAAATAGGACCTGTGACGTGGCCAGTCGTTCCGAACGACTGTGAGCTTCCGAAGCTCAGCTTCGTAGGTCAACGACATATCTATGCCAATGAGCTGTCGCGGTAAGTGCTAGCATAGAATGCTGACTCAGCATTGCTAATCATCCTAGCCTCGCGCTGCCAGCGTGGCGCTAGTAGCATCAATCATTCGAGGTCCTAAGCCTGACATCAAGTAAAGCGGGTCATGCGTGACTTACGGCGCGTAAGTTTTGAGTGTGTGGTACACAGCGGTGCCTTTCTCTCTATTTGTCTCACAAGTTTTGTGATGATCAGTGAGTATCAAGTTCATACTATCAAGTATAGTTTTTAGTGGTTTTTGTTCGGAAACAGTTGATGCCTGAGATCATATACGTAGTCCATCGTCTCGATCCAGCTCAAGAAATACTGTATTGACAATACAGTATTTCTTGAAGGTGTATTTCCACCGGGCCGGTGGAAATCCACAATACAGTATTGTGGATATGCGCTACAACTGTACAATCGTATTTTTCGTCCTTAGCTACGAAGCGTTAAATCCTTAGCCCAAATCAATAAGAGGTTCTTCTGATAATGTTCAACTGCGGCTTAGGCCTACAGCTCGCACATCAAATGCTTCAGCTCAGAAGTGGAAGGAGGAGTATGAGCGTCTTGTGAGAGAACCGGAGGTGTGAACAGTGAGCGGTGATACTGATTCATAGAAGGCCGAGCAAGAGCGGTCGGCACTACGAGAGTAGTGCCAAGCTTTCTCTGAAAAGAAAACTAGTAATAGAACTCGAGATAGTGTGGAGAACATTGTTATTCGTCGATTATCATTCTTCATTGACGGTCTGAAGGACGCCAGTGTACGATGGACTCTCAAGGAAGTGGTTGGAGAACCGAGCGGATTCTCTGAGCTGTTTCTGAGCCGACGATCTTCTTACTTTGTTCGAGTCCAAGCCCATTGCGCATGTGTCTCACTTTCTTATAATGTGGGCATTGATCGGCTCATTCGTATTCGGCGTGAGTGGAATTTATATGGGGAGGTTGTGGAGATGCTGAAGGAACTTTCTTCAGAAAAGCTTTGAAACGAAAGCAGCGATGATGGTGTTTGCATGCTTGATATCATTTCCATGACATTGTAATGGGCATGACATTGTCATAATGACAAGCTGTCATTGACAACTCAAATAGCGCATTAATGCTATGAAATGAGAACTGCCCGAGGCTCATCAGGGCGACGTGCATGGGTCGAGCTGATGATCGCATATCAACAAGATTATACCATACAGGGATAGCGTATCATCCTTCCATAATTGAGTCGCTTAAACATTGTATCTCCAACAGGCTATCCCAAACATTTGATCTCCCGTTGGAAAGCACGTGTAACTTCCCTTTCCCGTCGTAACGGAAAGCAGAATGAGACGGCTAACTTACCATCCATCGGAAGAAGAGAAATAGGGTACGATTGCTGTTCTGAAATACTCGCAGAATAACGAGTGAGCACTTAGAGATAAAAAAAAGGCTATGTCAGAGGAGTAGCAAACCTCAGCAATGAGACTCTCTGGCGTAGTAGGAATTCGCGGTGATGATACTACCACATCTCTGAGCCATATTATTGGTAACTGACTTCTGACCGAGGCGCAATGGTTCAGGTTTGGTCAAGTTGATAACGTAGTCCCCCTTGAGTTGGTGAGTAGGAGTAGTGAAAATATCCATACTGTAAATATCAAAAGGGGTGAACTCAGAACAGAAGAGCTCATGGTCGCCTAGAGCGCCACCAGCACGGAGCAATTCACATAAGAGAGCGCTGCAAACGCGCGAGGGTCCCATCACGGCCTGGCCGTTACGATGGATATGGTAGGTCCAGTTGTCCTTCTCTGGAATAGTTGGGAGCACAGCAGAGCCGCCCTTGAGCTTGGCATCGGCCACCTTGAGCAGATCACTCACATTCAATGCAGTTGTGTTCATGCGATGGTTTAAGGCCTC